CTCCACTTCCTGCGGTCCCCTCTGCCCTCTGCCACTGTCACTACTCGTCTACTGGTCAGTGACGTACGGTGTAGATTATAGTGCAGTGTTGTGTTGTATTGTTGCGGCCATGCGACAGCGACACACCGCCGCAGAGTCACCGTCCAATGGCATCGTCCTGGTGAAATGTAAGTTGAAAATACAATATATCATCTGTTAAAGTACCAAAGGAAAAACATTCACTACCAACGCAATTCGTATGATTTTAGTAATTAATATTTTAAACCAAAAACTGGTTATTTCTTCAGCAAGAGTATGAATTAGCATGATCATAAGAAAAGTTAGTGCGTTCTTATCAACGAGCACATAATATAAAGTTCTTATCGGCGTAAAGCTGTAAAATATAATTTGGCTATTTAAATTTAGTTTATAACTTGTGCTTACTGACGAGATTTCAGCAATCATAGTTAACTTAACTATCTTCGAATGTGATAGATTGTGTTATAATCAGGTAAACATTGATTGCAAATTTCACGTTCTCATACTGTATTGTTTCCATCGATCCGTTAAGTATTTAGACCTTATACTGTTGATTCATACTTAGAACATAAGTTGCTAATTATTCTGTTGGGAATATCTATTCAGCAGCGGTCAATCTGCTTATAGTGATCAACGGACTGTGTTTTACGGCGATATAAACAACTCAGTTCTTTATATCGTTGGTGTTTTAGCAGTATGCCTATCTTCTTCGTAACGGCCTTTATCTCTCCAAATTACTTGTGAAAATTAAAATAATCTGTTTGATTTAGCATTGTGTATAGGATGAAGTATATGTTAGCACAGCCACACAGAGCCATGTACACCAATGCGGAATTAGCAAAGTAATAAGTATACCAACATAATCGCTGATAGAATAGCGCCTACGGTACTAGCAAAGTGCTGACTGCTGACCGTGCTGACAGACCAGTCGGAGCGGGAATGCAAACTCCACTGCATTCTCTTACAGAACGAAGTCAGAGACAATAATTTTATTGCCCAGGGGTATTAATTAGTCTATTGTATATTGCAGGTCTGTTTTCTGCCATAGCTGTATAGAACTTGTTCTAGCTAAATTCGTGATCATGACGGATTAAATACCGAGAATGACTCGAATGTTTTATCGTATTCCCTATATAGTACACCATCGTCATTCACGTCGGAAACACACAGCCACTGCATTTCTTGTGCAATAGAAATGCTTACTTTTGCACTAATTGTGAAACATGGCGTCACTGTGGGTGCGGCAGATACTTGTAATAGTTTTACCATTGTTGAAGGGATTGAATGTGTCGGCGCTTCTACTAATCCTCTAGATTACAAAGCTCTTTCGCAGTTTATATTGAACAGTTACAGAATATTTTCATCGTCAGACGTTGCGGTTTCCTTCATGGGGAAGTCATGTTCTCAGGAATTCGGTAATATTGAGTTAACTAACTTTCACTCATCATCGCCGAGATGATCTGATGAAAGTCATCAGAGTTGATTGATCATCAGACAGGACGGCATAGTTTGATTAGTCCATTTCGTTTAGGTTTGGATTGACGAATGTTGTCCGTCAATTATCTCGTCTAGCAGGGATGTCCATAAAATGTTCATAATATTTTATGATATTGTAATAAGGTTTATTCTGAAAAAGGGTTTTTAACACTGTTCTGACTCTCTCCAACTAATCACCAAAACATTGGTGCGTTAAGCGGTAAAGCATTGCAAGTCACTAATTACAATTGCGTACGTCGTTAGCGATTCAACCACAAACCTCTCGAGTTGTAACCTCACATTTTATTCTAAATACTCCTCCAAATACAGCTATGTGCAACCAAATTTTAATTCTACTATTGTAGCGATCATAATCAATATCACAGACTTGTTTGATGCGAGATCGATGCCATTATCAGATTCTTGGCTACAGAAGAGTGGGAGAAATATCAGCTGTTTTGACAGGTGGTCGGTTGAGCAACAGCTGTTCGTCCTTCGCTGCTGCCAGCTTACCAGCGAGAAATTGACCTTTCGTTGTGCCAGAGGCATAGTTATGTTCTCAGTAAAGTCCTAGGCAAGTGTTTGACTCACAAATTCATTACGTTGAATATTATTAGTTTACAATTGTAGTCCAGCCGTGCATTTTTAGTTTCTCACCCTATACATAGCATATGGAGAAAGTATTTTTTGATAGTGTACATGAAAACAAACACTCATTATTTAATAATCAACTGATAACTAGGCTATATGTTATTCGGCTACGTTAAATGTAAAAGACTCGAATCTTGAGACATAGCTTAACAGCTTTTTAAGGCTGGACGCTGTTTTGTCATTCTATTCCAAATTCCTATTCAGATGAGAGGTGGCAAAAAATCTAAGATAGTTATGTTATGTTTGCCAACACTTTGAACATCGTTTGTTCGATACTAGTGTTGTGAGTTTGGTTAGTTCGAATATTGGCTCCCATTGATTGGGCTTATCAAAATACTGAAAGAATAATGTGGTTTTAGTCGACAAATATAAACGCTATATTTCGTGGTATCATATACAGTACATCTGATCACATGTTTAGTTGATATTTCCAAAGTGGGTCGAGAAAATGCCGTGCCCTACAGCAACATTGACCCCCAGAGGTATTTGATTGGAGTAAAGGTAGACCTAGATGTAGGCGTGGGCTTATCGTTGTTTTAGCCTTGACACCAGAATCAATAAGTTGCATGCGGACTGACAGACCTAATGACGCTAATTATCAGCAATTGGCTGTCAATACTTTCCTTATCGTGTAATGTGTTGGAACTGACCGAGTACTATCCATCATTTGTACAATCTCATACGAAAAGTAACACCAAGTAAGACGAGATAGCAAATTTGTGAAAATTATACGTTATGGTTTAAGAGTGTTTATTGAGAAATTTTATTGTAAATTCGTTGACAATGTCCATTTATCAAGGGGCTCTTGCTATCGTGGTTCTTGTTATTGAAGGTTATATTTTTTACTGTCGGGCAATCCATGATTTTATTTACTTTCATAAATAAAGTAGATGCAATAAGTAATAAAATAAAAAAATTGGTTATATTTTACCTATAATACAGAAAATCGTTATAAAATACCGCTTTGAGTTTTAAACAAGAGTTGAGTTGAAAAGGCTATTTGTAAATGTTCAAATACCACGTAATTTTAAAGAATACTTTCGGAGAGTTATTTATAGTTTCGTTTCTCCTGTCCAACTAAGTGTCACAGCGACGAACGTAATTTTTTAGTGTCTCCCAAAAATAGTTTTTTGCAAACAGCATTCTTGGCTGAAGCAATGAGGCTATTGGCCCTTGGTTTTTTTGTAAATTTGATTTTCCAACTTAAAATGGGGCTTCCAAAATCAATTTCCAAAGTTATTATAACGCACTAATGTATTTTGATTTCTTCTCCTATACCGTCCACTTATTTTGAGCAGTCCAACTTACTTTAGAGCGACATTGCAAAAAAAGCACAAAACAAAGATGCGATCCAGTTCCGCACGGGTTGGCGTTTGTTTAGTTTTTGTACCAGTTAGCCGTGTTGTGGCTATCAGTGACGTTTTGACAGCGGTGCACCTGTCGTCGTCACGGCTGGCCGAGCTCGCTCCGCTCCGCCCTCGCCTTTGTATAGCCGGCCCTCGGTGGTGAAATGGCTGTTTGATTAGTTTGAAACATTGGCTGTACAATTGTGAGAATCAGAAAATTGGACAACATTTTTCACCTTGTTGTGACTAGAATGATTTCTAACCTAACCTAACTTTGAATTTAAAAGAGCCGGTATCAAATGGCTTCCCGTAATGTAGTTACAACCATTCAAATAATTTTTTATAAATATTATAAAACTATTGTTTTGTTTTTGTTTTATTATTATTTTTCATATATTTCTTATGAAAATAAACAGTCATAGTAATTTGATATAGGGATATAGAAAAAAAGATTAGTAGGTACACAATGTTATCTAGGTGGTTTGAAAGTTCTTGAGAAGCATTGGCCATAAACAACAAGAGGTTCAATATTTGGCCCAGGCTGAATCAATATTTGATTCAGTATAATGTTAGTACTAATGTCTATTCAACATGGTGTCTTTTCATTGTGGCGCTTCAATTAATTAATATTTATATTTTTTCATCAGCATTGTCCTTTTTATTTTACTTTGTAAAATGGTTTTATAATGTTACTGGTTTTAACCAAACTGTTATTTGATATGCTAAATTCCAGTTTTGACAGTTAAATGTCAGTTGAGAAGTTGTAAAAAAACAAAGTCATTCTTTAAGATGAATCTATGGTAAAAATAAGGTAGAACTGTGAATGTGCACAAGATTAATGGTTCTGGTGCCGAGTTTCTAGATGAGTGTAACTATTTGGAACCATGAATGAGTGTTTTCTATTTTGGACCTGTCACAGTCAGAGAAACACATTCCACAGTAAAATGTGTAAAATTAGCAGCATCTGTATCTGTGACCAGAATAATTGTGACTCGCTAATGTAATTTGTGACGGGGGCGAACACGAACACTTCCGTTTTCTGTAAATCAGTTGCAAGATTATTTAGCATTGAGTAGGTGGTTAGGACAACATGAGGTTGTAGGGGCTCTTGTGGAAGTTTGACTCATTCTGAACAAAAAAGTTAGGCACCTTTTCATGGTTTGCAACTTGGTTCAAACATTACGCCACAGGATATTAACTAGTCAGAAATTAGTTATTTAAGTCTGTAGTTTGTTTTAAGCTAAACAACATGTCATATTCTTTTCTGATATTAATTTTCTGCGCTTAAACTCACATCAAATTAGAAATAAGTACCTTACTAAATTCTATAGTCAAAGTCCAAATCTTTTAGAAAGTTCTCCGATGTAGGGTAGGTAATGAACTGATTCATAAGTAATAATGGACTATGTTGAAAAGTGTATTGAACTGTGTATTGTGTTGAATCACAGTATTTTATTTAAATAAATTTTGTTGGCATTAAAAATAAAATATAAATTTTTTTGATTGCAGATGAAGCGAGATGCGTGTCTCACGGATCATCCTGGGACGAGAGTTCTCACGACCAATCACAGCGCAGCTCGGGATCCGAGCCAGACCTCTCCTCCGGCGACGAGAGCAGCAAGTAAGTTATTGAACATATTGCAGTAGTCTCAATTATCCAACCTGAACTTTTCGCAGCAAAGTCGGATGGCACAGAAATCAATAAAAAATACATTGTTAACATGTTGTAACAATTGAATTAATAAAGTTTCTCCAATGTTAGATTTATTGAAGGCTTTGAGATCATCACAGAGACCATCATCACAAATAGTGTAAAAATATCTAACTAAATAAACACACTCGCCCCACAACTGTAACTGCAAAATATAAGTTGAGCCACAAATCTCAGTTGTTAGCATTGACACTCAGGCTTGAGGGTAACACAGAGGTTTGCAGTTATTGGAGTTAACAAACTGTTTGGTATGTCTAAACGATTAGAAAGCACAAGTCCCTAAACCCTGGTGTATAACTACAGAGTACAGTTGGGGGGACAAATGGGTTGTGTTGATATAGTTACTACTGTGTACAGTCCATAATAAACTGAAACAGCGCATGATTTGACTTTCCGCTGGTAGGGAAGGATAAAACAGAAGGTTTGATAGTCGTAGTTTGGATATTCAAGGCTTAAATGAGGGAAAGCTGCTATACTTTTGAGTAGAAAAGGTTTGTCTACACTTGCAACCCATCACTACTTGCAGTAAGTCTTTAACATAAGTAACCAATTCTTTCAGGAGAACAATAAAATGGGATGTCTTAAGTTCAGAAGGTGTCATGGTTATAGAGGTAAGGGAGGACCAAGTTTGTAGTAAATCAGTTCTTTTGATTATTGAACAGGCCTAAAGTGCACAAAATAACAGTAGAATTGGGGAAAAAACACTGTTATCTGTAGATATTTATAGGTTTTTCATAAAGAATTAACTTTCTATAGTACTGGAAGCTGTTTAAGTATTTTTGTAAAAAACCTGAATAGTTAAAGTCATTTCAAATCATTGAGACAACCGATTTGATTACAATCTTAGTTACTTACAAAGAAGACAGTGTCATGATGGCCACAGTCACTAAGCATGCTGCTGACTGTGCATGTGCAAGAGTTGTTGTTTGCATGCTAAGTGTGGCCATCTGTGGCAACAGCATGTCATCTGAGTTAATATTGTATAACTTGCCATGAGTTTAAGTCACGATTTACAGCTCTGCACATCTATTGCATCACTTTAAGTTGTATCATGGACTAAGGAACCGTTGTATGTAATAGGATTAGTCTTCAGGGTTCACAGTTCTAGTAGATTATTTAAAGTTCTGGACAAAAAAAAGAGAGACTTCTTTTTGAGGTAATCAGTTATTTTGGTCTAGTAAAGTACTACAGTAGAACCTTGATAACAAGACTCTAAAGGGGATTATTAAATGAGACTTGTTATCATGGTTGACTCCTTATTGAGGTTTGCAATAACATGTGATTTGGGGTAAAATAAATTCAACGGGATTAAAAATGACACTTATTATCAAGGGTGACTTGTTATCGTGGGTCTTCTTATCGAGGTTCCACTTACATTAGAGGATTTTAAGTAGGCTCTAAGGTTAATAAGTAGTGTGAGGCATTTAAATACAGTCGGCCAGTTTTCATTGTCGTTTTTAAATATATTTATGTGTGTCAACTTAAGGTTAACTTTATTTTGAAGCACCTCATAATATTAAATAGTTTATTAAGAAAATATAAATGCAATGAAGTACTGGTATTACTCTAGAAAACTTTAGTGATAACAGTTACTGCTATATAATTCAGGCATTGATTGGGTAGAAACTAAACATCGTTTGGTCCTGTTATAGAAGCGTGGACGCCAGACAGAATGGCAAGGGCAGGTCGTTGTGGAGGCGCAACTCCCCCTCCCCCGACCCTCCGCCTCCTCCTGGCCGTTTGTCCCGGTGGTTCAGTATCCGCCGCGGCAGTCAGTACGACCTGGAGGCCAAGGAGAGAGGGAAGATGCCTCTGTTACCTGAGGTCAGTGTCTGTGCATGTAAACATTAGGTTAGTTTATCTTAGTAATCTCACTGGAAATTTCTTGGTTTATTCTCTAACTACAGTAAAACCTCGATTAACCTAAATAAAGGGGGTGAGGAAGTTTGAGATAGCTTTTTTTTTCAAGTAATCAATGGTTATAATTTAAATGCTGTTTTTGTTCAAATAGATCATCGACAGAAGGGAGAAGGGTTTTCCGTTATTTTAATTACTGTCATCTTAAAATCGATGACTGAGTACACAAAATCTAATTCTTAGAATAATCGTTACAGTAAAATCTCACTCACTGGACACCCAGTATATTGACAGTTTGAGTAACTCAACAGTCAACAGCTGACAGTGTGCACACAAAAAAAGAATAATTTTTCTAAACATTTAGTTTTAATTGTTGAACATTCGACACTTGTTTCAAGATTGTTTACTCAATATGTAAAATACTCATGTAAGTAATAAATATGTATGTAAAAATTTTATGTTATTTATGTATCCATTTATTGAAACCCATGAAAAATGTCAGTGTTCTGGATAGCTCGTTAACCCCCCAAACTCGACACACAAATTGTCAAGTTAGTGAGGTTTATCTGTAATTGTTTTCTGAAACCTTTCTTTATGGCATTATGAGATCTGTGTCGTCGTCTGCTCTGTTACATTTCCTTCGCCAAGCTGAGCCAACTTTCCTTGTCATGGCAGACTAATGCCTTTGCCAAGCTAATTTTGCAATTGATTTAATTTTTTACTACGATTTCAACTAACCCTTTTGGCTTAACAGGGTGAAATTATAAGGGATAAACTGTATTCGAACAATGGAGAGCCATAGTTAAATCGCAGATTTAATCTTGACTTAGTCAGCGTTGGGTTGTTTGCATTGCGAGTAGTTGCGTTGTTTGGTAATAAACATTTCTACAGATATTTAGGATTTGTTAAGTGGTAGACTTAAGTTAACTAGATTACCTAATCTGACTTAACCGAACATGTGCAGGACCAAATCTCACTGTTTCTTTAATTAAATCCAACATTGCACACCTTTGCTTTATCATGGATCACATAACCTTATCATGTATGATAAATAATAAAAAATCAAATAACAATGTGCCATGATTGTTACTGTTTTGTTTGTTTGACAGGTGGAGGAGGAAGGCAGTCTGAGTCACCGTCGTCTGTTGCCTCCGTCACTGCCACCCCCACCCCCTCACCTCAGTCCCCAGGAGCTCAAGAGACGACACATAGTGGCTGCCATTGTACACTCGGAGAACTCCTACCTCGCCACACTACATCGGCTGGTCAATGTGAGTGTGTGGATCTTTGGTAGATTGTTAATATAACTTTAAAGCCCCCCCCCCCCCCCGGAGTTGTTTCAACAAATTACTATCTTTTTTTTAAACTATCCTATCTTCTTGCAGGGGTGACAAAGCTTAGACTTCTCGGCCATTGATAAGATCTATTGTACTACTGCTATAACAATGCTGGTAATTTCTTTAAAAGAATGTTGTGTTATGTTACTTATGATGATTGATTTATCGGTCTTTGGAAGAAAGATTGAAGCCTAAAGTATTTCAGTAAAACCTCATTAAATCAAAAATTTGTGGACCGAGAGGTTGTTAATTTTGGGGGTTGTCAAGTTATCCAGAACTTAAACATTTTTATGGGTTTTAATAAATAAATACAACAGACTGATTTATAAACAGGGTGTTGAAAAAGTCTTAACACACCCAAAAATCAATTAAACGGCGTAAGATAAAATTTTGCAGCTTCAACATATCATTATATGATTACTTTTCTAGCTTTTTGCAAGAAATCAAAATTTTGCCCCCTCCCCCTTTAAGGGTTGATAGGTTGAACGGTTTAATGTAGGTTTTGACGATTTTCCTCCAACTTCTAGCAGGCCACCTGAGGAGCTACCACATAATAACTGAATTATGTGTTAAAATCATATACATATGGATAGGTCAATATGCACATCAAATTAAAGCTCTTAATTAGTAGAATACAATCACACAAATTTAAAAGAACAACTGAGTCTAAGACGAGATCCGTTCAAATAAATGTCTTGAAAATCAACTTCCAAATACTCTCTGGATTAATTTTCAAATGCCTTACTGTATACATACCCTGTTGTTGTGACAGGACTACAAAAAGCCCCTTGAAGACGCCAGCCCTGCCGTTCTTAGCGCCACCAAAATACAAACACTGTTCCACCGCCTCCCTGAGATCCTGCAGTGCCACACGTTGTTCCGCATTGCACTTGCAGAGGCAGTGGCCAACTGGGACCGGGACCATCGTATTGGAGACGTTTTTGTTGCAAGCTTCTCCAAGGCGATAGTGCTGGACATCTACAGCGGCTTCATCAACAACTTCAGTGTTGCAATGGAACTGGCGAGATCTGAGACCAAGCGAAAACCTGCTCTGGCTGAGTTCTTCAAGGTGGGTTATAACATAGGCATTTTGTACCAAGAAACTTTAAATCCTTTTAAGAGAAAGATTTGCATTGTTTAAAAAGTCATGTAGATATGACTGAAATAAAACATCTACTTCCTTACACCCAAGTCAAAGAAGCTAACCCCAACTCTAGTTACATTCCAATTTTTTAAGGAATGACTCCATGTTTCTTTATTGAACAATTTTTGTTTTTACATTTTTTTATTGTGGCATCTTACTCAGCAATATAACAGTAAATGTTTTTATCAGCTGTAGTTTTTTGCTAAATTGACCTTAAATGGTAAATAAGGGTCTACTTAGATTCAGATTTTAGACTCCTCGTAAAAAAATATTTTCCTTCCATTTTTAAGACAATGATGCTTACATTAAGCTGAATATGAATGTAGTGTGATGATCTTTGTTTCTAAAGTTGTTTGGAAAGTGATGGGTAAAAAATGTCAAGTAACTACATACAGGACTAACACATCACACAACCATCCAGCCTCGTTGGAATGTTGAATGAACAAATGGACTCAAACACTAACAACACTTGTTTATTGTTACTTCCTGTTGAGTCCAAACAATACACTGTTAATTGATGCTTTGTTCCCCTCTTGCTACATTTGATCCCACGATCAACATTATCTGAGAGCAGTCCCAGCAGTCTTTGTCAGTCTTAAGTACTCTCTTGACTTTATGTATTTTTTACTATTTTTTAAATGGATTTATTTGTTTTACCTTGTTTTAATTACATTATTTTACTTTTAAATAGTTGTAGCATTAATAAAATCTTTGTAAAAAAACAATGTTACCCTTATTACAAAAAGAAAACATTTTAAATGTTTAAGACGGTTTGAGAGTTAAAGGGGTTTTAATTCAGCTGTATTAGTGCTGAAAGTTTTTTCATTGGTAGGCCTAAAACTTATAGGTACTGCTAGTTTGTGCTATATTTTGCTTCATTAAACTCTTTTTCTATCACCAAAGGCAGAGAAACTGATAATGTAATGTAATAAAAAAACTCAATGATCTATTACTATGAAAAAGCAATGTTAAAATATATAAATACTCGAAAAATAAAAGTTTGCAAACTCAATTACAATACATTAAAACACATATGATCTAGATTTGATAAGATAAGAAGGTACATGAGTGCTCCATTGCTTACCAATAAAATAGTTAAATATAGGTCACATGTGGTTACAAATACAACAGTCATGGTTCAAACTTATATTGGGCGCGTTCTGGGAACATGTATCGGTGCAGATGAACCGGTGACTTACTCACCGGTACCACAGAAAACGTACTACTATACCCAGAATGCCAGCATAGCAACGCTGGTGGCGCTGCCTACGGATTGACAGGCAAAGCTCTCTCAAACCGCTTAATGCTTTTTACCATGCGGTTGGCATTCTGGGTTATAGTAGTACGTTTTCTGTGCCGGTACCGCCCCAGAGCAAGAGTCTTGGTATCCCAGAACGGTTACTCACCGGTTTACGGTACACATTGGATTATAATTTACACATCCACCTACTATTTACTTTATAATATTTCAATCAAACAAAATTACCCTCACAGAATAAATTATTTAAAAATTATTCACTTATTACGTAATATAACCCCCTCATAGAATAAATTATTCACTCATTACGTAATATAACCCATCAAACTGATGAACATTATTCGATGGACACGCCATCTTGCCGTAGCTGCATATTGTTGTCCAAGAAACTGACCAATCAGAGGCGCCAGTGCATGAATCTTGCACCAGTGGAGGAAAAAGGGAAAATAGCTGTCTGCTAGGTTAACTCATCGGTCTCCCAGAACGACACATTTTATGCACCGTTACTGCAAAGGAGAACCGGTCAGTGTTCCCAGAACGCGCTCATTATTAAACAGCAAACATAATCATAGAAATGTTTTGATTTAAACTCCATAAGCAATAACATAACATAACCATAAGCATTCATTTACAGGCTCGTCAAGTCTCGTCTCACGACAGGTTGTCTTTCTTCGGTCTCATGGTGAAACCGGTTCAGAGGTTTCCCCAGTTTATCTTGTTCTTGCAGGTAAACTTTCAATCATTTATTTTTTATTTCGCATGTATCTCAAAAAAATTTATGATTATGAATAAACATTTCTTAAATTTTTAAAAAAATGGGGAATGGATTATATCTTAAGAATCCGTAATAGTTTTAATAAAAGTTTCTTATCCTTATTTATTTTGGGAATGTTGGGGAACCTGTGAATTACATAAAAAAAAAATTTACTTGTAGATAAGAGTGTGAGTAAAACTTACCAAAGAGACTTCTACTGTCTTAGTTCTCAAACGAACAGAGAGACTTGTGGCATAGTGTATCAGTTTTTGTCCATGTGACTAGGTCTTACTCATACATTATCACAAAATATCAGCATAATGTTTTTCAACCTATTGTAATATATCTATTAGCCCCTAGACTCCTAATTTTCTCAAGTAAGGTAGTTGAACTTTTTCATTTACATGTATGGAACTTGTGACCAGTGGAATGCTTAGTGAAGATTGTTGTATTGACACAGGACCTGCTGCACCACACGGGTCACGGCCACCCAGACAGAATGTCACTACAGCTGGCGCTCACACAGCTGGAGAGTCTAGCAGAGCTGCTCAACGAGCGCAAGAGAGAGGCTGAGCAGAGTCAAGCGTTCCGAGACATGCTGCGAGCTATCAGTGGCAAATTGAGCGCAAAGAACATCGGAGACAACCACCGCTGTCTGCTGCGACAGGACGACGTCACGCAGATGGTGAATATACTTTGTATTGTCTGCCTGTGTATCATAAATTGCTGATCAACATAAGATGCTGTATCATAAGATGCTGATTTTAAATTCAAAAATCTTTTATTGTGTAGATACTTCATTGTTACCTCAGTTTTTTAAATAATTTTGCTGTGCTGATAACGCTAAGGTCTCAGGATGTGTGTTGCCAACCTTGTGGTTATCATGTTGGACATCAGTATGAGACATAAGGGTTCAATCTCCAGCATATTCACAAAATTTTTAGAATTTGGACTGCTTTCCCTTATAAATATTTTAAATCTTCTTTTACACAAAATTACTCTGGATAACAAAAGATATTAACAAGGATTAAAATTCATTTCATGAATATTCCTAAAAAAAATTCGAGAAGGAAAGCATAAACGATATGAAATAGTGATTTAATTAATGATGTTTTCGCAGGAGCTAAACCAGTGTGGACTCATCAGTCAGTACAAGAGTCGCAGACTGTTGCTGCTCAATGACCTGCTTGTCTGTGTGTCTGTCGGCAACAAACAAGACAACAGCAACAGTCCACAGAGGCTCAACCTCAAGTGGAGCTGTCCCATCAATGAAGTCCAGGTAGACATACAATTATAACCTATGTTTTTTCTTAATTTATTCTCATCTAAACGTGTTCAGTGTGATAAAACATAGTTAAGTTAAGCTGTAATAAACTTTGAAACCTCTGTCAGCAATATTGTAACCAATGCCCTTAGTTATATGAGAGAATAGTATTAATGAAAAGTTCAATTTATATGACTTTCTCTTGACTGAGTTCCAATGTTCAGGTTGTGGAGAACAACACATCCCCTACGCTCAGCAGACTGTTGACTCCCAACAACGGAGTTGCATCCTCTAACGGGGTTACAGAAAACCTGTGCTCAGAGATGAGCAGACTCATGCAAGACTACCAGACTGTCAGCAGGATAGCTGAGTTGGCGGGGAAACTGCATGGATCATATCCGGTGAGTGTAAAAATAATTATAATTATAGTAATAGCTTATTTGGCATGTCTTCAGTTATGTTGAGGCAAGCTACATGACCGAAGGAGTAGAAATGGACAGTTGCTGGGCCAACACTGGGAGTATATTACATTAGTCATGTCTCATTGAGTACATCATTAAACCTATCAGTTGCTGATGGTCTAAATCCCTGAAGGTCTAATTAGACCTTCGGCACAGATTTTGCATTTTGTACTTGTTGCTGAGGGTCTAAATTGACAATAGCCGATGGTCCAAATCCCAGAAGGTCTAAAATTACAGTCAATGAAGAAAACATATCCACTGTTAATCACTGTTTTAGACCTTGTGGGATTTATACCTTGAGTCCACAACCTATATTTTCTAATTAAATGTTTTTAGAATGAGAATTGCTGAGGGTGTAAATCACAGTCTAATATGACCTTCGGTATACAGTTTGCATTTTGGACTAGAAGAGGAAGGTCTAAAATGAGAATTAGACCTTTCACCACTGTTCGTGTTTTGTCATCTGTAGCTGAAGGTCTAAAATATTCAACATAACCTAACCATTCGTAACAAAGTGCTAGCAAAATAAGAGACATGAGAGTTAGTTGCGTTATTGACTGCGTGTACAGCCTTCACTCTGGCACGCAAGCCTGCATTTTTAGACCTTTCGCTACAGATGACAATGCGCGAACAGTGGCAGAAAATCTTATTCTCATTTTAGACCTTCCGCTACTAGACCAAAATGCTAATTGTATGCCGAATGTTTGATTATTAAACCTTCCGTGATTTAGACCCTCAGCGATTCTCATTTTATAAATATTTATTTACAAAATATAGGTTGTGTGCCCAAGGTTTAAATCCTGCAAGGTCTAAAACTGTGGATAAGTATTGTTCTTGTTTCATGTTAATTAGTTGACATTGAGTCTTGGATCTAGTAATTACATATTTTTTAATCCCAACATTTAAAGTCGACCAATCAACATGGGGCGGACTGAAAATTGTTTGTTTTATTAAGGCCTATTGCAGTACCTAGCTTTTTTCTCAGAAAATAAAGTAATCAACTTTTAAATGATTCATTACTTGTTTAGGTCTAGTTCTGCTTTAAAGTGCTGTATTTCCTTAACTTAAGGGATTTACTTGTAGGGCCGGCCAAGGCATTGTCCTGTTCTAGTAGAAATATCATCAAATTCCATAACCTCACTTGTTGACAGGAACTAAGCCCTGACGTGACAAGAGGTCTCCTCAACTACATCCAGTGTGAGATCCAACTGAAGGACGACCAGATGGCCTGGGTGGACTCTTGTTGTCTGCAGCTCTCTCTCCGCAACAAGGACGAGACCTACACCTTCCAGATGGACAGTCCCGAGGCCAGGAAAGAGTGGATCACGGGTAAGTCACATCTGTCAAGTCTGACATCTGCTGCAAAGCTTTGTGATAATGTTGCCTAGCTGTTTGTGCCTAGTCGTTTGGAAACTGGATTTTACGTTTAAATTCTTTGTTCAATGAATGCATGAATTTATTAGCACAATATTTTCCCTAAGAATGGAGTCCACAGAGAAGTAGCTCTTGTGATAGTTAAGACTGTGGAATTATTGTCCTGAATGTCTAAGTTGAAATCTTGCAAATTCCCAATATAATTTACATATGTGATAAAGCTGCGCCCAGTGTTGAGCAGGCTATCTTAAGCTGCTTGACTATCTATCCAGAGACCAGAAGTGATAGGTCTATTAGGAGAGTTAAACTCTCTCTGTTAGTAAAAGACTAAAATTTCAGTTCTTGGCAGAGTTATAGATGTTGTATTGTTATTGTCATCAATTGATTGCATTTTTACCAAATTAGAAAATTCAATAAAACACTGGTCTTGTTTCATATATTCATTATTTAAACATGTTTTATTGTTGCAGAGTTGAGGTTAGCGAGGCTCGCTCTAGACCCGGCCAACAGTCCGTCGTGGGAAGTTCCAGATCAGGAGGTATGATCAGTAAATTATAAGCTACATAATATTCAAAATTGAGTTTTTATTTATTATTAGAAGTTATTTTTTAAAAACTGTATAGTATCCTATTTATTCTAATTGATTTTTGTTTTTAGGTGAGACCATGCACCAAAATGCCCCTGTTTGTGGCAGCCCATCCAGTCTACACTTCTCAACAACATTCTGAGGTATGGTAGACCTTCTGAAGATACTAATGATTAACCATTAATGTTGTGCAACAATCTTTGTAGTTGGAGCTATGCTATGACGTGCTACATGTCGTTGTGTGTTGTGCCAGGTGGTGTGTGGCTGCTACTACACTGCAGCTTGTGGCAAGTCCTACCTGTGGGTGTGTACCACCGATGGCAGCAGCAGTCACATCAGCATAGCCCAGACCTCACAGACTCTCCTCAAACCTATCACACAGTTCTCACTGCAAGACATCAGAGTTACCGCGATGGAGTACGTCCGAGGAGTCGAAGCTGTTTGGATAGGAACACAGTGCCAACAGTAAGTGTAAACTCCTTGCGAAAATGGAATAGTGATTTATCTATTGAACAGAATTCAATAAATATTGAGAATTATAATTTAAATTGGTAGTAGTTGTATTGTTTTAGGCTAATGGGAAAGTCATGGCTAGTTTGTCACAAATTAGGCCTAACTATCTTATCACTCCATTAGTTTGTTACTCATTCATTGATAAAATTAGACGTCCCATTCGCATGTGAAACTTTTTGTAGTTTTATAATACAAATTAATGTATCTGAGTTGAGCCAACAACAGAGTTTGCTGATATTAAATCTTATATTCAACCCCTTACCCTAATTTATTCTAGGAATGTGGCATTTTGAAATTCAACCCCCCCCCCCTCCCACCCAAATATGTAGAAACTAGGTATGGGTCGGTACCACTTTTTCAAAGTCGGTACCAGTACAGGTTCCTAGCCAAAATCGATTCTCGGTTCTCAGTTTCAGTACCATCGTTACCTAATTTAAATTTTTTAGTATAGGCTACTTAATTTTTAATTTTTAAAGCAAAATATCCATTTAGTATTTAAGTTTAATAGTATTTTGCATTAGTATTAGGTTGGTACGGGTTTAAAAAAATAAAACTTATATGTACAAAAAAAAACAATTAAAAAACACTTAAATCACTAAACACATTCAAATCAAAATAATATATAATGTAGCAGAAGTGTTAAAAATATTTGATGAATTAGTGATGTGTCGATACCAAAATGTATCGATTCTCGATACCGATACCTAAATAAACAACTCTCAATACCACTTCTATAGGTCTTACTCTTCAACTGCTCACTGAGAATTGGTATTTTACACCCTTGAACAATTCCCCAGTAACAAATTGTTTCCTGTGGGACTTTCCCTATAAAAAATGGGGGCATCGGGCCAAAGGAGAGTCCTATAATATAACTTTGCAATGTTCCAGACTACTGGTGTACAGTGTGACTGATGTAGACCACCCAGAGCAGACCCACTCCGTAATGTTGTCTGGGGATGTAGTGGTGATCAAGCAGCACTGTGACTCTGTGTTTGTGGCGTTGTCTACCGGGCGACTGTTGGTTTTCCGTCGACACCAGCTAACTGCCGAGCCTGAAGAGATCGTACTAGGCACAGAGCCAGTCAGCTGTCTGCTGCCTATCAACCTCAGCATGTACGCTGCATGCGGAAAAACTGTCACTGTACTGCGGGCTATCACAGGAGAGATACAGGTTGGTGTTAGGGTAACTAATTAAACTACCAGGGTACCCACTCATTCATGAAAACCATGAATGAGCCCTGATTTTTGTCAACCGTTAAATTATAGGGAATAAGTTGCAAGTTTTGTGTTCAAACCTTAAAAATAGAGCTAGGCTGATTCCATGAAACTTTTTATACTAATAGTATCAAGAAAATTTAAGCAACATCGGGAATTTTTCGCTCACACAATTTAAGGCCTATTTTGCTTGGAGCGATTGCAGCGATAGTCGGGTGGCGATAATCGCTCCGCGATAGTAGCTGGGCACTGCTCTGATGGAGTTTGCATTGTCCTGTTTTGCTTGGAGCGACTATAGCAAGAGTCGTCGCTAGCTACAGTCGTGGACCACTGCTCTGGGTACCAGTCTGAGCGATAATTGGGCCGCGACTGATGCGCAGCAACACGTGCGCAGAACCTCAAAACAGTCCAGATCACTCAGTAGGTACATTAATAATAGGGGTTAAAATAGCCATAATTTTCTTTTTTATTCAAATTATTTTTTCTATTCATGTGCTGTTACGATTGTACTGTTTTGGTTATGTCTCCTTAAACATTCATTTCATTTTCTACATTAAATTGCAGAAGAAACAGGCGACTCTTTTTTCCAGCAAACTTTGCATTGTCATTGCTCAAATGGTCGTGTTTACATTTTTTTAGGTAATCCTCGTCTATTCAAATTTAAATATAAAATGTTTGACTGTTCCAAGTTGAATATGTGTTATTCAGTAGTGGGTTTTAATACTGTATCAGTTTTTTTGTATGAATAAATACTTTTTATTTAGACTCCTAGTTTTATTTTCCGACATTCATGTACTCTTATTGATATCATTCATTGATATCACTAAAGTTTTCTATTATATCCTATCTAGTGACGTCTATTGATACTTACACTAGGGTCAAGTAGAGCCTTGTCTTCTAACTCCTTCCTGAGGAGAAAGTTACAACACGCACTCATGACTTCACCATTGTGAGTGCTGGTATTCAACTAACTATGAAAAATCGCGCGGCGACTGGAAATCAATCGCTCTAAGCAAAACGGCCGCCGTAACAGCTATAGTAGTTGAGCAATAATAGCTGTGCGACTATCGCTACAGTCGCTCCAAGCAAAATAGGCCTTTAGAGGCTTTTTGCAATCCAAGAATAACAGCTCAACTCAGGTTAGATTTTCTCACTTTGTGCTCAACTACTTTTTGCTCAACTACTTTTTGCGGCTAGTATTTTAACTTAGTCAGGATTCGGAGTCATATCTGATCTGGCTGGTGTCTGTCAACTTTATGCGGCAACATTGGGAACATTGATATAGTGTCCCTTTACTGTTCTTTTTGTTTATGGAGTCTGCTGGATTTGGGTGTGGACTATTCTAAAAAAAAAAATCCATTGGTGCAAAAAAAATCATTGCTAAGTGACCATTAAGGGATTCAAGTAATTCAGGCCATACAGCTAAAACTGTTTATAATAATATGTTGCAGAAGAGTTTTACCATCCAGCATGAACATGTCGGAGGCAATGTCAACCTGATGGCTACCTCAGGTGTTGGTCTGTGGCTGTCTCTCACTCACTCCAGCACCATCTGTCTGTACCATACGGAGACATTCAAACATCTCCAGGTAAATTGGCCCATCAGCCTTCTCTCATTCAAATAATCGTTTAGCTGACAAAATCACTGTATAGCTACATCTTTAAAATAGAGATATGCGAGTTGTGTCACTAGCCGTTGCAGGCTAGTGCCTCAAACTTAATTCTGAGAAGGACTGGCTTGTTTGCACCACTTTCCTTATTCACATATTTGTGTTTCTTGCATACCAATTTCCACTGGTTCTGACAAAAATTATAATTTTTCTTCTAAAGCTTGTTTTCTCTATCCAGTGATAGTGTAACACTATAACTTGTTGAAGGACATAAATGTGGCGTCCAACGTAGTGCGGTTGACTGGAGCACAGGGCCCAGTAGCTGTGACAGCGCTGATGGCGTGTAAGGGACTGCTGTGGGTCGGGACAGATGCTGGGGTGTCACTGACTGTGCCTCTACCTCGGCTGGAGGGGGTGCCCATCATCAGTGGCCGCGTCAGTGTGTCGTACCACGCCCACGTCGGACCTACACGACTGCTACTGCCTCTTCAGGACCCTCCCACTGTGGTCAAGCGGCCTCCCAGCAAGGCACTGGCCTGCGACATATATGGACTGTATGGCCAACTCATGTACGTCAAGGACTACGACGGAGATGATGAGAGGTTAGTAATTGTTGACTATTCAAATTTTTAATGAAAGTTGGGCGCAATTGCATGATTAAAAAACAGTGCACTTAATCGCAACCCCTTTGTGACTGGAAATTTTGTCATTTGAGAAAAAACCTAGTTTAAACCTTTAAAATAGAAATGGGTCAAATCAGATTCTCAATTCCACAAAACTTTCAACACTAGTGGAATAAAGAATCTTCAATTTCCAATATTTTGTGACAGAACCGATTCTAAAACATCCTGCTGTGGCAGTGACATCTGGAATTTCCGCCTTTACACAATTTGCACATGGCTTCCTTTATTGATACAATATCCTGAGATTCCCACCTTGAAAAGGTGATGAAATATTTTTTAATCCTGTCATTAAAACAGAAATGAAAATTTCCTGAATTATTGAGTTTAACCCAGTTTATTAATGTCACAAAACATATACAAATACAACTATGAAAATCATGGAATTTCAAATTCAAATTGGAGTGGGAATGGAATTGGGTCAAAGGATCCTCATGTTTTATAAGACATTGTCCTATTCCATTTTTCGTACCATCAGGTTGAACAGTGGTTTTATTAATGTACGGTGACTTTTTGTCAGATCACAATTCCCTTCCTAGCTACGCTAACATATAATAAAGAGTTTATTTTATGTGACATAATTACAAGTAGCCTACATACATTTAATTTGCACCTTCACATTTGGTTTTGCAGACTGGACATGTCTCACTGGTCACTTTCCACGAGCTCAGAAGAGAGTGGAGCGCCTCGGCACACAACAACGACAGACAGAAGAGAACACACTCTGGTGACCATCACTGGAGGTAGAGGCTATGTCAACTTACAGCAGCCTTGTTGTACAACAATCACCAACAATGCACACATACTGCTGTGGGAGATGAAACTTTGAGCAGTATTGCTCCATAACCTGCACTACCACATCTTAAATATTTGATTATGCTCTCTATATATCTACATTTCGAATGAATGTAGCAGTTCGGTTTTAATTCTGTTCATTCCTCTTGGGTAAAAAAAAAATAATAACACAAAACTAGAAACATGTTACCAAAATAAAAATGGTATGTTGATGATATGTGTTTAACATAAAAAGCAAGGATTTTCTAGAAGTGTATGGATTTTAAAAGGTGATAATGAAAGGATTAGATTTCAATTTTTAAAGTTGTAATGGAATGATCAGATTTTAAACAAGTGAAAATAAAACTTAGGTGGCTTTTGAAATTAAAACCAATAATATGTATAACAAATAAAAAAAATGATACAACATATCAAAGAAGTAACCGTGCGAGACTGATTTTGTGCCTACTAGCACTTACTTTGTATTTATTATTGTTCTGTAAAACAGAGTAAATATTATGTAATTCTCAATTCTTGTTGTTAAATAGAAATGGGTTAACAGCCAAATGGGCTACATAGAATACCAATATTGCAGTAAAGAGTCAGTAGCACTACAGGCTTAAGGCGGCAATGTCGTGGGTTCGGATCCTGGTACCTGCCACTTTTTATCAGTACAGTTCACTCTTGTACTGTATCGGCTCACACCTTGCTTTGCTGGATGCGTTCCACAGGTAGGTCCATAGCATTGATAAATCAAAATATGGACATTTAACTAACCATTAAGATATTCTAGGTACAGAAAGTTAACCTACACTAAATACCAATATTTGTTGGCTGAAAACCCCAAGATTGGATAATTCATTTAGAAAATTGTTTTAATCATACTTAAGTTTGTTAAAACTGCTGTGTAATTCATTAGTGTGTAAAATGCCTTCAATTATTGTGTAGGGATAGTGTGTATTTTTAAAATTTATTATTATTTTTATTTTATTTATGGAACTATTGGTAAGTTATCTCGTAATTTGTTTTCATACTGATGGGTAATGTAATGATTTTGTAAAACATTTTGAACCATATTATGTACTTGGACATTTCAAGAGGGTTTACAATTGAAAATTAATCAATCATAACTTTCTAAAACTACGGTATACCAAACTCAGTTTTTTTTTTTTTTTTATTGTGCCTTTAAAAAAACTTGGTGCTTGATTATGATGTGTCTTCAGCTTGTGGTTTCACATATTGTATATATGTATCCATACATAAATTAACTATATTTACTTGTACCTAACACATTTATGAACTATTGTGTAAATATTATGTGAATCCCACTCTAGTCCCATTTTACTTTAGTTTAGGTACAATTAGTATTAATTTACAATCCAGCAATGTTTAGTTACATTAACTGATGATTGAAAATGTAGTTGTTTTCAGTAAGATTAGTACTTAAGGTTGTCACCAGCCAAAATGTGTGTTAAAATACCAGGCTGAATTACCTTAATGGTTTAACTTACAATGTTTGTTATCATAGCCGAGGTTAATTTTTTACTACTACAGTAGTACCTTTGCTGTATCCAATACGATTTATACCACAAATTGGTTGGAAATTCTTTAATGCTTATGTTATTTCTTAACCATACCAAAAATGTCATTTTATGTTATTAATAACGGTGCTTTATTATATGTATATATTTTTATTTTTTATTCATATTTAATAGGGATGTACAAGACTTAATAATAAAAAAAGGTTGAAAAAGTGGTCAGTGACCACGAAAATTTCTACTTTTAATTTTGTGATGTGTTATGTGTCTCTATGGACTTATTTAAAGGTAAGCCTGCTTTCCTGTCAATTTCCTTAATAATTCCTGGCAAATGCCCTATCTTTTTATAAGATAATAAAAAAAGGAATTGTTTGGGACTTTTTGGAATTTTTATTTATATATTTTTTTAATTGTGTTGTAATTGAAAACAGAAATTAAATACAACAAATTTGAGAATTTTCAAAAAATAATATTTAAAAACACTCAAAAATATTTCCCAAAAAATTCCTGAATTTTTAGGCTTTGAACATCCCTAATATTATTTTTTATACAGTACTTTCTTGTGTATTAATTTCCTTCTATACAGTGCAGTTTACCTTATTGTACAAACCATGTTGAGTTTAAAATTTTATGTTAAATTTGAATGTAAGATATTTTTTGTATATTTTGTAAAGACTAAATATGCATTTGTACTATTTGATTTTGAGTAAATTTATTTAAGGAAGCATATTGGTTTCTGTAGGTCATTTGACATACCCAAATCTCCAATTATTCTAAAACCCATTCAAAGTCTTAGGCTTGTTTAATATTCTTTTTCACCACACTATGATGTTTTTAGCTGTTTTACATACGTTAATTGGTGGCTGAAAGTTACGTTTTGCTGGCCATGCCAGCTGTCATCGTCATTTGGGGACCGAGCAGGTTTTTACATCCCTAGGGCCGCAAAATCAGCTGCCCGCTGGAATGCATATTAAATACACAATCAGTTGCAATAGAATTGTTTTATTGTTACCGCTGCCTAACAACTATTTATTATTATTTTTGCTGATTCCTCAAATTATTTCTTCACATAGCCAAGAGTTGTGTTGACTATCAGTGTGCATTATTGTTGTGGTGAATAGTGGTAATAGGGTATAGTGTGGTGAAAAATAGTGTTCGTACCACGGACCGAAATGGGTTTGCAGCTTTTCATCATTTTAAGTTCTTGACTTCGCCTCAAACTTAAAAACTATCTCGAGCCGGCAAAACCTCATTTTCGGCCCTAGGTACGAAATATACTATTTCATTTCATACACCTGACAAAGTGGGCTTGACTACGATCAGCTGTTTCGTTCAATGCTTGGATTTAACATAACAATATAACCTAAAAACGTGTTGTATAGTGTTTAAAAGACTATTTATATGATTTTAGTAACTGTAGGAAAAATATAATGTGTAACGCGAGTGCAAAGTGCCACTTTGCACACTAGTTACACAAATAACTAACTATTCTCCCCATTAGTTCTGCATATTTTATCACCCATTAGTCATTTGATAAAATTTTGTGAACAATGAGCAGGAATTCTCATCTAAGCAAGAGCTAAGAAGTCAGTGATCTTGCTATTAGAAGAGAAAGAGTATATATATATGAAATGAAATGAAAAAGTGCTTTATTGTACAACTACCTCCATATGTACAACATATACAGCACTAACTTGCACATAAAATAAAATACATAGGTACTGCTAAAATAAAAACCTAACACTTATTAAACAATGGTCAAAAGAGTATATATATATATATATATATATATACACACACACACACGTATAATATATCTATATATAGAGTAAAAAAAGCATTCAAGTTTTGAACCAAAGACATTTGGTTAAAAAATAAAAATCCAGTCCTTTCAGTGTTATTCCACAGTAATGGATAACCCAATGGGCTTGATAAGCAGTTTACTCGAGCCATTAAATGTCAGGAAACTAGTGCCGATTAAAGTGATGGTCAAATCCAGCCGAATCCGAATCTTAAAATTTTTTTTATTTTGTATTTTTCACTATAAGGTTTACCAACGGGTTGCAGCACTGTTAATTGTTATTTTGTATTTTCACTTTAAGGTTTACCAACAGGTTGCAGCACTATTAATTGTTTAAATTGATGACAACTAACAGCTAGTTTGAACCAAGCAGCAACAAAAAGCTGTGATATAAAATGAGAACTGTCAAAGTAGGATTTTTTACAAAGTTATGTTTTTAATTTAATGAATAATTTTTGATATTGTGGGAATAAGGCGTTTTATTATTATTTTTTTCTATTATGCACGTATTCCGTGTACGCTTGGAAATAGGTTGGTAACACTTAAAGATAATAATACTATGAGCAGCTTGTAAAGAAAAAAAGAGAAATTCTTCACTTATATTCAAAATATACTCTTTACTTAATTGATCATTCCATCAAGCAAAATCACCTCACACCTTTATGTAATTCAATTTGGCTATTCCATACAGGTGTGAGTATAACAAAAAGTTGCCCCCTGGTGGGGTTTTAATGAATTTAATTTACACTTTTAATTGAACTACTGAGGACATTACAATCACAGAGCTGCGCAGTGGAAATAAAGATGTTAAGTGTGGGCCCTGTAATTAAATATCCCAGAAGTCCGATTTATGGACCGTGAGAGGTCTGATATGTTGTCCTCCTTCACACCTTCTTCAGCTTAATTCTAACACTTCTTAAAACTAATAGATGTGTCTATTTGAACACTCCATGAATTTAAAATGTGCTGTTCTGATGAAAGATTGTGATATGAATTGATACTCTGTAAAACTGTAAAATTGTAAATAATAATATTGAAATATTGATTGAAAATATTTGTGAAACTGTTTGTTCAGGAAATATTTATCAAAAGTATGACTTCAAGATGTTTATATATACTGGATTCGGTTAAGCCGATTGCTCATGAATTCACCAATTTAACATTAAACATTATGAACTGAGCTTATAAAAATTGCACAGTCAAAATATATTTACAAAATGTGATCGTCAACACTCATTGTGTATACTTTGTATACTTCTTTCAGTTAAGCCATTTACCTCTTTAATTTATACCAGATTGATACTAACAGCTGAAACACAGGATAATGAAAAGATGGTGATTTGTAAAAATACTGTATAATGAATCAAAATTACGAGCTGTGATACAAATATTGAATGTAAACAATGTAATAACCTTTTTTTTGTGCACAATTTAACAATATTTTGAAAGAGAGAGTGAGAGAGTTGATTGTAAGATTGAATGTTCAAATTGGCGGTTTGTTCATTTTTAAAACTGCAAAGTCTCGGGAAAACCTAGCCTTGATGATTTTATTTATTTGTTTTGGATCACCAGACTCCCCAAAGATGTTCGTAATTATCAAACTGGCCAGTTTACAATTTAATCAAACAGGGACTATTATGTAGGTTTGTGATCTACATCACTCCTTGCTGATCAGTGCAACGGGGCCAATCGACTGCTGAGTCGATTATTTGATAATTTTTTTATTTAATATTTAATATTTATGAATTTAATGGGAGTCTATCCTCATGACCCTTTATCAACCCTAGCCTTCGACCGAGCACTCTGTTACCCCCATTTACGTTACACAATCAAACTCTCACTATTTAAAAATGTAATACTGTTCAAAAATTATTCTACACATGAAATTCAAACGTTTTAAATAATAATACTGACGATGATAGAATCTGACTTTACATAGAATACAAAAATAATAATATCACAGATAAACATTGCTCTTTAAATTAATATACCATTTCAATTCAATTTAATAAATAATTTTCATTTGACTAGGTTCACTATTATAACTTAAATTCTTTGTATGACATGACCAAATTTAATAAAACATTTTATCCTGAATCGTGACCATGTGCTCTAAGTAGACCAAATGAAACATGAAAATCTCAGACCAAACAAAACATGATTCATAACTTGTAAAACGAGTGGTACATGTGAAAAAATGTGGCAGATTGGCAAGACTATTTTAATACTAAAACACAAATAACACAAACATTTACTTACGTACACATGTCGACACATTAACATTCATTCCGACGAAGATTCACGCGTACCGAACATTTAAAAACTGACTCGTGGTAATTTTGACTTTTTGTCTGACCGAGCGGAATATCACGACACGGTTTTTTCTGGTGTAGGACTTATTAATTCTTGTTTTTTCGAGCTGGCGTTTAATGATTCAATTGAAAATACCGTCACGACGACCCGCGATTCGCTAGAAACTGACATTTGCTATCGATATGATGCATGTACGAATTTTCATCACGAACGCGAACAATCAATTCGGCATCTCAACTGTCTCGACTTAATACTAATAAAACACACCCCCAAATGCAATTCGGCGAAATTTTGACAATTGCGATCGTTTGATGCACGTACAATTTCCGCCCGAACGCTAATTTCCGAGCTACGAATTAAGATATTAATAAATTCGTCCTACACCAGCGACAAAACGCGACTTCACATGTTGACTACGCGATTACTGAGCCACGAGTGACGAGGACGACGAGACGCTTTGCACACGGCCCGGTTCCCAACGGTCGTTGTATCCTTCCGCGTTACGTCATGTTGGACTGACTTGTCCATTGCCTGTCGCGGATTTTAAATCTTTTGATTTAAAAATCGGCACAGAAATCTCCCCTGCCAAAAAAATTGGCCCGAGCGACCTTCAGGTCCGCACGAAGGCCTTTTCCATCCGGGGACAATTTCGATCCGGCGCGACGACGCTTGACGTGGCAACAGACGCTTCATTCATACGACACATTTTTTTGTTGATTTTCCCATTGATTTACATTTAATACATTTAATACGAAACAATTTTACACATAAACATTTGAAATTTGAATAACAAAAATATAAACTCTGAAACTTTAACAATAATAAAAATTTTGCTTTGAGGTCGGTACTGAGAAATTAAAAATTGTTGTCAACTAACACCTTGTGTCATAAACCAGACTGCATCAACCCATCAACAATTTGAATGGTGTAAACGCGCACGCTTAACACACTGTAGAATTATCTAGCATTCAGCGTTGAGTAGATGTCAACAATCAGTTCATTGACCCGTAGCGCAGTCGACAGTCAGCTGTTGCCGATGGAGTGGGCGGGGGCGGGGGACATTGTTGTGGTGAACGGCCCGATGTCTGCCTGTCTGTGCGGGTAGGTTCTACTCTCGCCCCACCACAGCTGGAACGTGACCTCTGTTGGCCAGCCTTCATGTCGCTCACAGTGGTTACATAACATGACTCAGATGATTCATTGTTTCTCAAAATATGTAATTATGAAAATGTTTAAAACAATTGACCTCAGTTTGACTCTATTTACTCAAAATTGAAAACTATTGCACATGTAAATATAAATATAAATAATCTCTGTACGAATATGACACAAATAAATAAACAAGTAAACAAACACAGAAATATCAATGTGGATAATTGCCTTAGAGATAACAACTGATACCCTTATCAATGCCAACCTGCCTTGGTAGTAATGCCAATCTGCTTCCTTGTTACCAGACCTCTCAAATTAGTGCTATCACTTTTTGTAAAGAAAAATAAAACTCTTCACTTATATTCAAAATATACTCTTTACTTAATTGATCATTCCATCAAGCAAAATCACCTCACACCTTTATGTAATTCAATTTGGCT